ATACATGGAATGCTATTAAATCACTCGATGAAAGCAGAAAATAAATTATTTCAGCATCTTAATCAGAGTGTTGCTGGTTAGAATAATTTAGGATCTTCAAGGTAACTTCAGCCATGCTATTATTTGCTGTCTGAACTGAATTTCCTGCCTTCTCAGGAGGAGAGTGCTGTGCCCTGAAGGATGGGAGAGGAGCTGGGTGGGATAGGCAGGAATTCCAGCATGACAGCACAGAGGTGCTCAGGCAGTCCCAGAGAGCTCAGCTCTGTTTGCTGACAGGGAGGAGTGCAGAGCCTGGTCCTCTGGCATGTTTTGTCTTTTCTTCAGGCCATTGTATTAGAGATCAGGGCTGTACAGCAAGATTATTTTTAATTAACAATTACTTTAGCAATTTACAATGGGCAGATGACAAATTATAATCCCAAACCTTCCATTGTCAGAGAATCCACGTTTCCCAGAAACAAAGGCTCGGAGGAGCAGCAGCAGCCCTCCCTTTGCTGTTGCTATGTGTGGTAACTCCTGTGACTTTTCTCACATTTCCTCAGTACCTTGGATCCCTGATGAGTGTGCTCACCTCCGCATTCCCCCAGAGGCTGTCTCGTTCCCTTGCAGTGATATCTCCTTTTTGTTCCTCTCCCCCTCCCTTGGCAGACCTGCATGGGCAAGGACGTCACCCTTCACGTCTCTGCAAGCAACCCTGCTATGCTGCTCTACCAGAAGTTTGGATTTAAGACTGAGGAGTACATTTTGGATTTTTATGACAAGTATTACCCCTTGGACAGCAAGGAGTGCAAGCACGCCTTCTTCCTCAGGCTGCGGCGCTGAGCTCGGGAGAGCTCTGGGGAAAAGCCCAATCCATCCAAAAACTCCCCCAGCTTTTGGTGGAGGATGTTGGCTGCCACAGGAGAGCTGCAACACGCTGGTGTGTTTATCCCTAGGACTTTGGATGTCAGCAGTGTGTGGAAAAATGCAATCCAAAAGGATTGATTCCTGTGCTCCAAGGGGAGAGGCCTGGAAATGCCAACTAGGGTACACTGAAACCACTGGAAAATTGAAATTCCTTATTGGGGAATTTTCCTGCCACTGTTACTTTGGAGAGCCTCATTAGCAAACAAAAATACCAAACTAAAAAGTGTTTCTCACTTGAGAGGGGCCCCATGGATTTCAAGTTTTGAAACCTGTCCAAAAAATATTGCAGGTTTTTTGTCTCTGTTTTTGTTTATTAGCAAAAAATGAACACCTAAACTTAAACCATTCAGTGTTTCTGTGGTTTGATTGCTTTGTTAGGAACTGTCTTGAGTCTGTGAAGGGAAATAAGGTATTGGTGCCTGTAGCTGGATGTTAACATTAGGAAAGTTCTGCCCATGCCAGAACCGTAGTCCTGGAACCATGTTTCAGAACTACTGAAGAGTGTGTGGATTCCTGTTATCCCAAGTGCAAGGCTCAGAGGAGACACCTTTGTTTTGCCCCTTCCCTTGCCCTCCTTGCCCCGTGCTCAGTGTGGTTCTCGTAGCGCGCAGTGTTTTGTGTTCAGGAACGGTGTCAGGTGGGTTTGTGTCTAGGCAAGGCAGGGCACCACAGCTGCCAGATCAGCTCTTTGGAATCCTTCCACCTTTCTGTGGCTGTGGGGCTGCAGATCAGCCCTTTGGGCACACCTCTAGCCACAGAGCAGCCTCACAGGCTCCAGCACCCACCTCCTCCTGCTGGCAGAAACCCAGAGCAGAAGTCAGCGGGGATGTTTGAAATGCTGATTTGTAGAAGCAGTCTGCTCGCAGCTGGGAGGGAGGAGGAGAGGGCAGAGGTGGCCCAGATCTAGTTCTTGGAAGCACCTAGGCTCACCTAGCAAAGAATAAATAGAAATAGCCAAGAATCAAAAAATACAACCCCAAATGCTTTCTCTGCTAGTGGCTCTTGTCCTTTTCCACAATGTAGCAGCTTCTCTCTCTGCCTTTCAGTGCAGATGAACAGAAAGCTGCACAGACCAAAGGCCAGGCTGGGCATTTTAACTACAGATCACATCCATTGGGATGTGTCCTTTTACATCCAGCCCACAGAGAGCTACACACCAAATGTGACTTCTCTGTCCTTAGTCTAGTGTGTGTACCTGCTGGCTACCTGACTATAGCAGTAATTACCTTACTGCAGTCTTCATTTTGGTAACAAAAGAGAAAGGGACACAAAATATGTTTTTATGTAGCCAGTGTCCCTGATCACCAACACAAAACCCAGTGGCAGTGGAAAGGAAAACCAGCCCAGCCAAGGGTTGTGTGCCCAGACATCCATGCACATTTCTGTCTGTTTCATGACTGTGAAGATTTTCAATGTTCTTAATGTTCTGAGTTAGCTGGACTTTGAAAGAAAAGAAATATATGTCTTTATGAATGGAATTAAAGCCCTTCCCTTGGAAAAGCTTGTCTGTAGTCATACTGTTTGTTAAGGTGTCTCTCCATCATCTTATTTCATTGGAATCTAGTAAACTCCAGTATGGCCCTGAGAGGATGTGTGTGGGCAGCTGACCAAGGCAAGAAACTCATTTCCCTACGGGCACACACAGGCAGGCCTTAGCAAGCTCCTCCTTTCCAGACAGAATTAGGAAATACAAAATAGTCTGCAAAAGATCATGGTTCAGCATTGTGTTCTCGAAGGTGACCATGAAGATCTTGAGGAACATCTTGTTCTGTGGCTTTGTCCCTCAGGGACTGCCAAGTGACAACGCTTTTATAACAGCCCTGTGTCATCGGAGCTGCAGCCAGCTTGTGTTATCCAGGTCCCTCGTTTAACCCCAGATCCTCAAAGGCAGTGAGGTGATCCTCGGGGTGGGAGCCGTGGCTTTGTCAGGGGTGAGGTTCTAAGGTACGTAGTGAAACCAGCGGACGAACGGTGTTCCCAGCCCTCTGCTTCCCTCTGGTGCCTCGGGAGCCTGACTGCTGGCTCAGCCGAGCTGCGCTTGAGGAGCAAACACCGCGCTGCCCGAGGAGTCAAGCACCATTTAACTAGGCCCGGAGAATAAAGGCGGAACTTTTCCTAACGGGGCAACAAATCCCTGAGCTCCGATTCGCTGCCACAAGGAAAGGTTTCCTTTCTCCAGGCTGCGCGGGCGCCCTGAGGGCTCGGTGAGGGCGGCGGGCCCGCCCCGCTCCCGCCGTGCCCCGCGCTCGCAGCCGTTTGAACGGGGCCATGGCGGGCCGGGAGCTGCTGCCCGAGGGGTGGCGGCTCTACTTCCACTCCGTCCGCGCCGCCACCTTCCACAACTGGCCCTTCACCGAGGGCTGCGCCTGCACGCCCGAGCGGGTGAGCGCGGGGCCGGGGCGGCGGGAGGGGAGCGGAGCGGGGCCGGGCGGGCGGGCGGGCGCTGACGGCCTCCCGTGTGCCCGCAGATGGCGGCGGCGGGCTTCGTGCACTGCCCCAGCGAGAACAGCCCCGACGTGGCGCAGTGCTTCTACTGCCTCAAGGAGCTGGAGGGCTGGGAGCCCGACGATGACCCGCTGTGAGTACCGGGGGATCCCTCGGCCTCTGCCCCAGCCCGGGGCAGCCGCTGGCGGCGACCGAGAGCGGGACCGTGTGGCTCCCTGCCTCCTCTTATTTTCTCTTTCTTTTCGCCTCTTTTCAGGGAGGAGCACAAAAAACACGCTGCGGCCTGTGGTTTTCTTTCTCTTCAGAAAGAACCTTCTAACATGACGGTGCAGGAGTTCCTGAAGCTGGAAAAAATGCGAGCGAGAAAGGCACTTGTACGTACACGGCATCTTGGCTTTGAATTGTTCGGCCGGGCTCGTTCCTTACCACAAGGCTTTGTGTAAAGTGCTTTGTTGTATCCAGGCTCGGGCTGGATCAGCCGGTGATCCCTTTCCTTGTTCTCTGCTTTATGCAGGATGTATCCTTCTTTCTCCTCGAAGCTGAATGATGCTCCACTTAGTGGTAGACAGTAACATCATATTATTTTTACTCTTTGCAGAAAAAAGAGGTCTCTCAGATGATGACCAAGGTTGAAGATAAAGCCAAGATCCAGCGCTGTAGTATAAAGAATCTGTCCTAGACTGCTGCAGCTTCATAGTTGCCAGTGACACCTGTCTTGTCCACATGCTGTGGCACTGCCCTGTGACTGAACGGCCGTGTTTCCTGAGGCTGCTTCCAGACTGGCTGTCCCTGAGAAGCAGAGGGAATTCTTCTTCACTCCTCCCACTCTGTCTGGGAGGTACCTGGGGTTTGATGCACTGCATACAAAATATTTTTCTGCAAGGATTCTCCTAATTTTCCTGCTGGTTTTTAAAGGATTATTATTTGTGGGTTTACTTGTTTTCTTTTTTTTTTTTTTTTTAATTTTTTTTGTAAATCCACCTGTTTGGAGATATTGCTGTCTCATAAAGATAGTAGTAGCTCTGGTGCTAAAACTTGTATTTTTGATAGCAGCTGACATGCATTTCCATATTTGTACTGAATATTCTGATGCTTTTAGATGCTTTGGGACATAGAAAGGAGAAGGAGTTTTAAAAATACTTTGAGGTTTTAGGATTGTGGCTAATAACTTGGAGTTATACCACACCTTAGTGTGCCTGGTATTCTTGTAAATTTCTGTTTGTTGTTGGCTGCTGCCTTGTGTTGATGCATTTATAAATAAAAGCTGAAGGCAGAACAACAAAGTAGTTTTACTCAATTTTCTGGAGGACAAGACTCTGACCTTTACTGCAATGGGCTGCAGTTTTCACATCAAAAAGGAAATTAAGCTCATCAGTTACAGCTTGCAGTGCTATTGCTCAAGTGTCAGTGTTCATCAGGCATTGTAGACATTTCAGAGATATTGAAATGCATTTGTGCCTGGGAAGGTTTGGTTTGTCCCTTTGCTTGGAAAGGAAAAGAAAATTTGCAGAATAGAGTGCAGTCAGAGGGGAATTGTGCTCTGAACTGCTGGAAAGGAACGGGGCAATCTTGGAGGAACTCTTTGACTATTACAGGGCCCAAGCTGATCCAGGGCCGTGGATTCTGCAGACGGAACTGGACACACGTGGTCAGGTGCTCCCAAAGTCAAAGAACCTTCAGCTTTATTTGGGGATTAAGTTTGCTGTAATAACACATTGATGAGAACAATGTTCCTGTGTCACATAAGTCTGTTCAGTGCTCTCTATCCCCACTTACTTGGAACAGTGAAATAACCTTATTATCTCCAGCTGCAACAGCCAAATCCAGCGCTGAGTGCCCTGCTGCATTCTTCTTTTGCACGCTTGCATTGCAGCTGTAAATACAGAACATTGGTTTAAACTGCTTCAATTCAGTGCACTTAGTGATGAAGTGGCTTGGAGGTGAATGTTGATGTAGAGGAACTTTGGAATTTCTGGATGCTGCTTCCCACAGGGACACGGGGCAGCCACAGTACCTACCCTAACAGGGCCCGGACGCTCTCCTCTCCCTCCAGTCCCAGCAGAACTGCCTCGTGGAGAGCTGTGTTGTTGTGCCTGCACAGGAGGAATGAGCAATGCACTTACTGCCCAAGGAAACTTGGCAAATAAAACTTAGGAAGATGAATAGGAGGGTGCAGAACACACGAGAAGTGTGGCAGGCTTTGGGGATGTTTATCTTATTAAGTTGAAATGGGTGGGGGAAGGAAGTGAATAGAACAGCAGCTTTTATAACAGAAGTTATGGGAAATCTTCAAAGCTGGCAACTGGGAGTGTGGATAGTGTCCTTGAAATGAACATATTTGTGGAGGAGAGGTGGGGTTTAGCTCTCTCTGAAACTGGAGCACGTGTGATTTCTTTTGGTAAAACTTGGCAAGAGCTGAGGCAGAGGATCAGAACTCACGGCCCTGACTGCTGGTCAATGTCAGCCCCTTTCTGCACCAGAGGGGAGATGGCTCCTGTGTGCTTGTTCAGGACAGCAACTGTGAGGGCAGGGCGCTCCTCCTGGCTCAGGGAGTTGGGGTCAGCTCCCTGGAACAGAGCACAGGCAAAGGGGGCTGCTAACACCACACAGATTCTTCAGCATCCACCTCACTTTTGTGTTGTGCCAGTTCAAGTTGGCAAATGGGCTTCGTGCTCAAGACAGACAGAGGTTCAAAGTGTGTTGTTTTGCTTTCTTCTGAAAATGTTTGTCATCTCCTAGCTCAAAGCCAGAGTTAATGTGTGTAACAATAGCCAAATGAGATCCCAGAGCAGAAACACAGATTATGCTTGCTTTTGCTATACAGAGGACTTGATCCTAAATTATAATATTAATACATTTTTTTTTGTTTGGCTTTGATAAACCCAGAGAAGACTGCCTTATCCACTGACCAAATAGAAATTTGGGGAGATCATCTGTAAATGTAAAACAGGCCCTATCTTCTCTAAAATGCTCTTTCAGTCTGAAGCCTGGTATTGCAAGGCTGTTGCCTCCTAATCATCAAGCTGAAGTTGCATTCCAGGCTAATATTCACGCAGTAGACAGGCAAAGAGTTGAAAAAGGAAACTTCAGCAAGTGTTACTTACATCACTGAGCAACTGTTCTATGAAGGAGATTCTGCCTTTCCCAGTTTGACCCAGTTCATCCAGCAGCTGTCTGGACTCTGGCTGTGGAGACACACAACAGCCAGAAACATTGCACACAGGGAAAATGCAAGCAGGTGGGCCAGATTCTGCCTTGGAATGAAAGTGCAAAATCCACACAGTGGCATGAATTTGATGTATCTGAGCCTCAGTTACTAATCCCTGACTTCTTTGGGAATGTTTTTCTGAACCTGAGCAAATGTTGGGTAACCCTGGCTAATATCTCACCACTGAGGTCTTCATTCAGCAATGGGTGTCTGCAAATTATTCACTTTATGGCAATGCAGCTCCCCAGGGCTGTACAAAGATCTGCTCAGCACAGCAAAATTAAACATGGCTACATGTTTAGGAGTAAAGTTTGAAGTTTCCAAAACTTGTGGAAGTATTTTATTTTAAAAATATGTATGTTTTGCCTCAGTGAAATTAGTTTACTAAATCTTAACAAACAAACAACAAAACCTAAAACGTTTTCCTTTTATTTCTTCCCAGCTTTCAACCTTCTCTCATTTTGAAAGCTCAGTCACTTTTTTATCTCTGGACTCATATCACAGATCTTCTCCCACCTGTTCAGTTGGCTGACTGATCCAAGCTTAGATTAATGTACATTGCCCTTTTGAAATTTTCCATGTCATTACTGATAGTCCCTCTAGTAGACAGTTCTTTCAGGAAATTTGGTCTCCAGGGAAGTAAATCCTTGCTTCTTGAATTAAACTAGGCCTCTATGGAGTTAAATGTTGTAAAGTCAAGGGAAGATGACAATACTTCCATTTGATGTTGTTTCTGAAAAATATCTGTAAGAGAATCACTGCAACAGTCCTTAGGCCTAATGCAGTGTCAAAATTGAATGGGTTCAAAATGAGAGAAAAAAAATCTAATTAAACTCTTAGAAAAACAAATTAGTTATTTCCAGTTCTGAATGAAATGTCAGTTACCAATGTTCAGGTTTTCTATTAAGTTGGACTTTTAACCCCTGGCCCCAGTCAGGGTTAAAATCTTTCTGTTTTAATGCCTGGATGCCCTCCTTCATGTTAATGCTGCTCTATAAATCTTTTTTCCTGTATTTGCAGGGGATACTTACAGAGAGCCTAGATTCCTTTCCCATGAGTGTTCTTGACTTGGTTCTCTTTATTTTGCCTCTTGAATGGAAAAGATTGGGATCATCTCTGCCTACCAGAAAGGAAAACAAGTGTTAATTCAAAGCAAAGTCAGTATCCTAACTAGAACTTGGGGCAGAGATCTGGAAATAATTTATCCAAAATCAAAGCAGTATTTATCAGTTTTCCACATGAGAAAGTGATGAAATACTTGTTGCAGTTCAAACTGGTTTTAACAAAAGGTTTGCACGGCTCCCAGTGCAGTGACTGCCTCTTGCTAAGCCTCAGACTGGAAGCACAAAGTGGATGAAACTTACATGTGAATTATATCAATGATGCTATAGGAATTCCTGAATTGTAATGCTGACTTTACAACTGGTTGATTTAATGAAAACCTAAGTCCAAAATGAGATGCTCAAAATGCTGAGCTGTTACTGACACCAGTGGGAGATTGCAGTTAAACAACATCCCTACATGAATGTATTTCATAATTTCTCATCTCTGCCAAAAGTGCCAGAGCTGGCAGTTCCTGGAGAGCTCAGATGTAGAGATAATATTGATGTTTATGGTTCCTATTGTAAAAGAGTATGTGAAATATCTAAAGTTTTAGTGCTATAATAAAAGCTGTGACCTGTGGCTGCAGTTCACTGCTCTCCTCAGCTCTCCAGGGATGAAGTTCCCAGGAGTTTTTGAGGGCATCTGTACATTGCTTAAATCTCAACTTGGACACCTTTTGAGACTTAAAAGATCAACTTAAATAGGCACAGAATGTTTGCCTGCCTTGGTGTTTAAGCTTTCAAGCACTACTTCTGTATACCTGACTGCTCTATTTATAGTCTACTGTAAAGACAGGGAGGAAAAAAATCTCACCAAAATTAGTCTGACTGCCATCCTGTCCATCTCTGACTTCTGCTCCAGCACTCAGATAATCATTGCTGAGCTTCACTGCTCTGTTAGGATGAATATTCTGTAGAATCATCAAATGCAGGCAGTTACTAAGATTATCATGTAATGATAAATAATAATGATGATAATAAAAAAATATAATAAATAAATACTCTTAGTGGCACAACACTTGCCTATGAGAAAATACATAGGCTTTGAATAGCAGTGTCAAATTACCACAAGACATGGTCATATGTAATTGAACTCTGTTTTGAGGCAAAATTATGTAGCAATTTTTTCTGAACCTTCTGTTAGGTATTTCTTTTGATTTAGAAAAAAAATTATACAACCTTAGTTAATGAAATGAAGATTCTCATCCAAATGAAAGTATTTCTACCACTTGAGAAATTTCGCTTCTGAAATGATGTGATACAGTTTTTCAGGCCTCACATGGCAAGGTAAGCTTTCCAAGATTCCACACAAGAGATGCAGTCTGAATTTTGGATTTTTGAAATGGTAGATTTTCATCTTGAAAAGCTGGAAATGTGTATATGTTGTGATTTTTGGAGCATGGTAATTCCTGAGATAGAGATTCCAGGTTTTGAATAGAGCTAACAGGAGCTCTGACAAAAGTTATCTCCAAACTATTGAGAATTACTAAGCTTAGTTTTTAAGAGCACATTTTGCAGGCTTAAGAAAAGCAGGTTCTGAGATCAAAAGCCAAGGGGTGCTAGAATCATCAAACAACATCAGCTGAAAGAAGAAAGTTAATACTAATAGCAAACTAACAAAATGTGAGATGATAGCAACATAACCACGAAGTCTGGCTTAATCAGATAAAGATACCTGTTCATTCAGCTCCAACAGAGAAACAAAAAGATTCTTTTCTCTGGAGAGGTAAGTTAACACCCTCTGAACAAAAGCATTTCTTGTTTAGACCTGAATTTCAAATCTATCAGCATTACACTGCTCTAGTGACAGCTTTAGAGCAGCTGCCTCTCAACAGGTCCCATCCCATGAACTGACCTTGTTAACAGCAGCAAAATTCAATGTAATAGTGACTTCATAGTCATCTTCAGAGAGGGTGGCATAGTTAATCTAAAAGGAAAGAGCAGCCATTAGTAGATCTTAGCAAAAAACCCCCACAAAAGTACTTTAAAGAATAATTCTTGCTGATGGTGTTTCTTGTGCAGCCAATGCACAAAATCACACGTGGCCTTTGCCTCCTTGTGATATTGTACCAACACTTCCCATGTCAATGAGAAAGGGGCAGGTGTGTTTTGAGAAACTGGAAATTTCATAACAACTGAAACACCAAATGAATCCAAAAGTGTAGTAAGGCTGCATTTCATAGAAGTTCAGTCATTCTCCACTGAGATGTTGTAGCTGCATAAAAGGCTGTGTTGTTCTTGGGACTCCCAGATCCAGGAGAACTGGTGGCTGCTTTAGGGACACCAGTCTGTACTAAAACTTTGGTACCTTTGTGTATCAATCCTTGAGACAGTACTGCTGGCAACAAATCTATGGAAGTCATACAAAAATGAGTGCACAGGAGATTGTAAAGAGGTGGAATGAAGATTATATTGCAGCTGGTTGAGAATTTTGAGGTAAGGTTGATTATATTTCTAATCCACATGAAAAACTGAAAAAGCAGCATTAAACCCAGATAGTTGGCATCTGCTTTGAACCATTTGTTACTGCTGGGGGCATTGCTTTTAAGACAATAAACTGACACAAGGCCAAGAAGCAGCAGGAATAGCCTTCCCCAGACAATTTTATATTCTTCAGGCCTATCCTTTTGAATCCTCTAGCAGAGGAGATAAGTTGAAATGGACTGTATCTCAACTCTATTAAGCAGATATTCTCTTATAGTTGCACAGCAGCTTCTGAACATCTTGGTGGACAATAGGTCGCAGTGAATATAGAAATTAGATAGCAAGTATCTACTGGAGTATCTACTCCTTAGGAAGGAGTCCTAGAAGGTTCCCACCTTCTTTCTATATAAAAAGCAGCTGAGCAAAGGATTTCTCACTCCCCTTGCAGTTCTTAGGTGAGAGAATGGGAATTGCCATTGGAAAAAAAAGCAGAAAAAAGTCTTCAGAAGAAGACTGACCAAAAAATGGAAAAACCAAACAGGACAAATGACACACAGGTCAACATCTAAAGAAAAGGGAGACATTTACTTTTCCAGTGGTTGTGTAGCAGCCATGATAATCTTTTCATGACCCTCCAAAGGAAGATATTACTCACAAGTTCCTTCCTACCTTTCCCATTTGAGGTTCTCCAATCAGTGTTCTGAATTCAGGGTTGTTCTGGGCATAGCTTCTTAAATGAGCACAAACATGATCCAGCTGTTTTCTCCAGTAACCTGTTCACAGGGAGAAAAATCCTTAAAATGTGATTAACATTCCTTCTAGTCAGGTGAATGGAAGGTTTAAAAGATAGCACAGTTTCATTGAGATAAAAAAAAATGCTGTAGAAAATTCATCTAATCATGAAAATGAGAAGGAAGTTATACCCTAAAAAGCCAGGTGAAACACTGTTTTATCTGTAGTTATAATTCATCCTTAGGGCCCTCTATTCACAACAAAGCCATGTCTTGGAATGGTCCTTAGGAGTCAAAACTGGTTCTGTGTGAAGGGAAAAATCTCACACCATTCCAGATCATAAAAAAAGGAAAAAGTAAAATATTACAATTAAGTAATTATGTATTACTGAACTGATTTTTAGTTGATTTGGGATAACTGACAGGGAACAATAATCCAAATCTGAAAACTGCAAACACAGAAACTCAGGACACACAACATTTTGGTCTGTGTAAGTTATCCTCCAAATTAATTCCTTTCAATTTGATATGTAAGAGCATATTAAAAGCTTAAGCATTCCTGCTCTTTTTCCTGTCAGGATTGCTGGGAGAGAGTCAGCATTCCTTTATCCTGATAGAGGCCACAAAACATGAGGGGATGAATGTGCCTGGATTAAAAACTCATCTTAAGCCATTTAGAGCTTTGGCACCTCCTGTCCAGGCAATTCCAGAGCTACATTTTGTTTTCATCAGAGAAAAAAACAAATGGACTTGTTCTCATTTTTAACTGTTTGTTTTCAGGATCTGGGTGATTTTCTTTTTTAGTATCCTTATGGTAAATACAGAGCATGATTCATTTTGTTGTAAATAAACTGTGTAGGCTTGGTAACCTCATTTAACTTACACAATGCAGCTGCTCTGATCTTATCCTTTCCTTCATGTTAAGTGAAGCTTAAAACAGTGAAAAGAGACCAAGCCAGAAGGAAAGTGCTGCTCTGGCTTTTACAAGACAAAGCAAGGGCACAAGGAGTTTTGTGCTTGGAAGACTCAAGGTTGACAAATGATGCTATGACAAACGAAACCAACAAATCTTACTTGTTAAGCAGCTTTAAATGAATAGAAAAAGAAGGATCCACAGAACAACATAAATTGCCCCCAAAAACTAATACAAGCTGAAAGCAGTGTTTAAAACATCTAAAATAGACTATTTGCTGAGTGATCTCTCCATTGAAGTCAGTATTTTTTGCAATAAAGTGGTTTATAACTGGCTCAGATCCCCAGATTTTATTTGGAAAAATCCAGATGGTCAGGAACATATTCTTGCATGGTTGATGTTCTATTAGATCTCATTATACCTATATCATACTGATTTTACCTTTGTTACAGTAGAAAAGGAAGTTCTTGGTAAAGTTTACCTGGTAAATGTCTTGGTTCCTGTTCAAAACAGACTGAAAGTACAACAAAAAAAGAAATATAGTATACACCAGAGGATTGGTGTTTTGGTACTGCTGTTGTTTGCCCCTTTCTTAACTTTAATGTTTTTTTTAATCTTCACACATGAAAAGAAGGTTAGTTAATAGTTGATATGGTCAAGAAATAATAACCTCCACCATTTTACTTCATTGCTTGTATTTAAAAACTTGAATATCAAATGTCTGATCCTATTTTGATTGAAGAAATAATTGTCATATTTGACATAAATAAACAAGATTTTCCTGGGTGATAGTGCATGGTCTTGTTGATACAAATAGTTTCAAGCCATGTATAAAACTCAGCATGAACTGACTGTAAAAGACATTTATTGATTTATGGAATGAAATAAATTCCTCAGTCCTTGGCAGGATCTAAAGGAGAATACATTACACAGTGCAACTTCAAAAAAGTTACCTCTGCTAAGTGGATAAAAGAGAAAATAATTCAAAAGCAGCTCAGAATCTGTGCCCAACCTTTCCCAGTGACAGCAGTTCTCACTCACAAGTCAAGAGCTGTACTTCTGACAGAGATATACAAATATTCAGTGTGACTTTGCTTTTTTCTTGGCTCTATTAGGGGCCAATCCTGTTTTATCTCTGACTAAATTAAGCTCCCTGGCATGTTAAGTCAAGTATTTCCTACAGTGATGCCTAAGAGAACATGTCACATTTCAGAGGAAGGGAGGAGGAAAACAGATTTCCCCATTGATTATTTTAGGAATCAGAGTCCATCTGAATACAGACACGCAGAGTCAAAAGAGGAATTTCTAACATCCATTAGCAACTTTTACTACCCAATAGAAAATTAATTCTGGTAACAGCCTAAGGAGTTGATCATCTGACTGCTGAAGAGAGCTAGATGAGAAAGTGGATCCAAAAGAGTAACTGCTCCTCCAAACCAGGGTTTGGTGCTGTAATGATTGAAAATTAACTCATTCTATGGATTGCCCAGCTGGACTGCCCTGTGAGATTAAAGACCATTTTGCCCACTGAGCCATTTATTAGGTCCCTAATTAATAATAATGGACTGTCTTCAAGGGTTTGGGATCCAGAAAGCTGAAGATTTCTCAGGATCGTAAAACTAAAACCTCTAAAAATGGCAAAGCATTTAATGACAGCAAACAGTCAAGTGACTCCACAAAGAACAAAGTTGTGGAGGGATAGAATATAAGAGAATAGTGCAGAAGGTAATCTCACACCTGAGGAGTTGCAGCTGTACCAATCACCAGAGATTAGGAACAGCCCTGCCCTGAACAGGCCACAGCTGTGTCCAACAATGATGTGTGCTATAAAAGAGCGGGTTAGCTGGGTGAGAGGAGCTGGAGTTTGTTGGCTGTGTTGTGAAGAAGGAGTCAGTGCTGTGAAGAAGGAGTCAGTGCTGTGAAGAAGGAGTCAGTGCTGTGAGGAACTGCCCATGAGATATCACCAAGAAGGTATGGGAGATTTCCAATAAGATGACAACACAAAGTTACCACAAAACTCACTGTGAATGAAAGTTGTCTGCACTACTGCTCCTGCTGTAGTCTGTGAGAGGAAAGACTCTTCAATGAGTGATATTTTTATAATCCTGTTAAGAATCCCTTTCTCTAGTTTAGTTATCTTTGCTTCTGAAGCTTCTATCATTTATTCCACAGCAGCACGCCAAACAAGTTGCTTGTGTAGATGACCTTCATCATATTTTCAAGAGCTCTGATCCCCTGTGTCTCAGAGTTTTGTTTAGCAATATCCCTGCAGGTGCCATCACAGCTCTGCCTGAAGTTCACATGGTAGAGGCTGGGGAGGCTCCTGGGAACTGGGAGTATTCAGTGGTTTCCAATTCCCATACAGGACACCTGCCTCCGGTCTTGTGGGATCTGAAGAGATCAAAGTGCTACCAATTTAGTAAGGCTGCACAGGGCTCAGTAAGCCAAATTTTGATATTGCTGATAGTTTTATTTTAGCTATTGATGGAGATCAGTGATTGAATTCTAGGGCAGTGCATTTACAAGTGACTGGTGGAAACAGACTTGTAAAGATGTACATAAGTGTCTGACTGATGCCACATTCCATGCATTATAATATTTTCAAGAAAAAAAGCAAGGTCATAAATTGTTTAGAAATCACAAAATCAGAACTTCTAACCTTTTCCAGGACTAATGGCTGTCAGGAGAGGCTTATGATCACTCATCTTTTCCACCTTTTCCTTTTGTGAAATCAGCTCAAGCTCCTTCTTTTCCAACAGTTTGCTGGATGGGTAAAAAAGTCCAATGGTTTGGGTTCCTTTATCTTCTCTTTCTGTTAGTTCTGCCCTTGATTTGGGCAAGGAAACAGGACAAGTTTTCCAGGCAACTTGAGCCTGTAATAGTTTTGCCTGTGAGGGGTGGTGGAGAAGGGAAAATGTAAGTAATATAGGTATAATTCAATGGCTTACAAGCATAACTAACCAAGGGAATGTAAGGGAATGAAAAAGCTAGCAGGAAGAATCATTAACAATTTAAAAATTTTAGTTACCAGTCTGTAACAACAATGCAACTTACCATAAATATTCAAGCAAAATCCAAATTCTTTACAATTGCCAGGGAATGTGTATGCTTTTGTAGGGCAAAAGCTGCTTTATTAAGTATTGGAGTCTGTCTTAAAACAGTTTAAAAACTACTACTACATTTGTGTGAAAGAATACCTTGCATCAGCAGACCACAACTAATTCACAGCCAATAAGATACAACTACTTGAAGAGCTAAGACTTTTGAAAGGCTGACTGTTTCCCACTTTGCCATTTACAAAGGCTGGATTGAGGCCTTGGGCTGAGGCTGCTTTTCAGCAGAAAGCAAACCAAACATTTTTGCCCTCCTTGTGCTCCCAGCCTACAGCATTGTCCCAAGGCAATGGAATTCCCATTCCCAAGGAATGGAGCTGTGCTGATCCACCTTCCCCCAGTAGAGCAGCCTCTCCCTGAGTTCAAACCTGGCTTTGTGTGTCCTACCTGGGAGGATGCCAGGGGGTCCCCACGGTCCATGAGAGTGCCAGGAGAGCTTTGTCTGGATGGGGGCTCTATGTACACACCACAGGACACACAGAATCGAGCATAGGGCTGGTTGCTGGTCCCACACTTGGAACAAGCAAAGTAGGATGGAAGAGGTCCAGGCTGGAAAGTTCAATGCAACATTTGTCACTGGAGCAGCATAGGATGAATGACTCAGGAATGATAAGGGCAGAGGAATGAATTTAAAGGATGTAAAGCACCACCCTGAGTGCCCTAACACAGTACAGGACTAATGGTTATTTACGCGTGTAGGGGAGTGTTTCAAATTTTATGTGCGTTCAGCTCACGGAGAATAAATTCTGCTTTAGTGTGATCTTAGGTAGAAGCACTGCACAAGGGGAAATTTTTTACATTGATTGTAGCTCTACTGAGCAGCAGTTAAGTATTGTCCTCACTGAAGTTAAGGAGGCCTTCAGTCAAAACAATTGCATGCATCATCTCATATCTGGTAATTGCCTGTGTAGGTGATTATAGCCCAGAGCTGTTATGGGAAAACTTGCATTGGGTCAGCCTGTACTTTAACCTTTGATGGTTAAGCTACTTTGCCTGAGCACAGGGCTGTTGCATCTCAGCTGATGCAATGACCTGGTGCTTGTTGACCCACGATAATTTGTTTGCAGCTCTAAACCCTGGGGTCACAGACTGATGTGGAGTCAGGACGCCACCTAAGCCATTCCTTTTTCCATACCCAACCCTCTCTGCTCTAAGCAAGTATCTGGATGCTAACAGTGTTTAGTGACTGGCAGGAGCTTAGCACAGAGCAGTGTGGCACTGCAGCAGAGAAGCAGCCCCAGGTGTGTCCCAGAGGCAGCAGGAGCACCTGCCTTGGCCCCACACCAGGCACAGAAGCGGGCGTCGCTCCGGTTCACACCGCCGCACTTGGAGCACCGAGCCGTCTGCCCTGGCTGGCCCTGCAGAGATGGGCACCAGTCTCCTCCAAACGTGGGCTGGTTAAACAAAACAAGCATTAGGCACAAAATCCTCCTTGTGAAGGAAAGTCTACCAGCCTAATAAAGGGAAAGAGGAAAGCAAGCTGTTCTGGCAACATAAAGTAATATTCAGCCTAAAGGAATTCTTGCAGCTTAGAGTGACTTGGATCTAACTTATAATTTTCATCACAAAACCACAGTAAAGTGTAGCATTAATTAATTTGAAAATATTTTTAGCAGAACTAGCACTAAAAAATAACCTTATCAATGGTGTGCTTTTAAACTGAGTATTTATTAATAGAGTCCTATGTATAAGCACATATGAAATTAAGATGGAGGCTTCTGTACTGACAAACTTGCATTTCCAAATCCAACACACAATTTTCCTTGTACCTCTCTCTTTAGTAGTATGGCAGGGAGAATGTGTTCAGGCAAAGAGTTTCCTCACAGTTTAGAATTTGCTGCATAAATATATTTTTGCACTCTTTTGCTTTGTGCAAATTATAGATTACCCAACTTTTCTACAATTAACTTATATGAGTAAGCAAAACAGGTTTTTCATCTGAAACTTCCAGAGCTTAAGTACAGATCCCAGTTAGGACAAATAGCACTTAAAAATGTTTTGTTAGGTTTTGCCTTAAGGCTTATGCAGTTTATTTTCTCTACAAGTCAGGAATATGGATAGGGGACAGAAGCCAAGGAAAATTATTTTGATTACACCATAACAGCAAGTAAGCAAACACAAAATAGCCCTGTTTTAATCTGTGGCCTGCATTGCAAGTTGAACAATGTAATTAGGGGGTTCAGTTGGAAAATAAAATTTAGAAAAGCATAAGTCTAAGTATGTTCTAAATATAAATTATGTAATAGCCATTAATAATATCAGCATTATTACTATTAAAACCTACTAATAACTAATAATACAATAACTAACTATTGTTATCACTAATTCATCATCATTATTAGCAAATTTTCTGATTACTATTAATAATTCTTAGTAAGCATTTAACTTTCTCAGCTACTACAGGTCTCACATTCGAGTCACATGCCTAACTACATATGCAGCTACATATTATCTACACACATTTCTGCATTCAGTGAAGCAGCCAAACATATATTTATCTTAGGTAAGTGCAGAATCCTACTGAAATTCACTTTGAAATGACACTCATGTGGCTATACAAGAGACTTTTGCCTCTAGTTATGGACAGTTTTAGAATTCAAGATGTTAATCATTATAATCAGAAGATTTTAACTTGCAAAGCATTATTGTTATATCATTTTTGTATTTACCACAACATGGAGAAGTGAAATGTACCAGATGTTTTTCATACAAGATTTTTTCAGAACTGAAAATAAAATTCTTCTAAGGAACCAAGCTAAATGGGGAGTTGAAACAGAGCAATTTTAAGGGTAATATTTCAGTGCTTTTCTCACCTCTGTGCAGAGTCACAGCCAAATACAAGCATGCTAGCTGTATGCATGTAGGAGAAGCAGCAAGTAGAGATAAGAAAAATAATGCAAAAGTGGAGATAAGAAATATAATGCAAAAGCCTATTCTATTTTCAGAATATAACTGACATCAGTGTGAATGTTGTTCCTGATGTATAAATTCAACTTTTCTAATGCAATTAAAAGTAATCTAGACACAAACAAGACTCCCTTGGAGTCAAGACTACCCATTTTCTGAGAGCCTTCTGAGCTTTCTCAAGGGCATTCACAATCCTGACTTCCATGTCAGAAGCTTGAAGGTACATGAGACACTCATGTTTAATTGGACATTTGTGGTGGAGCTTCTGTGGGAGGACTGGGCTTAAATGTGACATTGGGGAGAGAATCTCTGCTTTGGTGACATGGGGACATGACTTCAGTTTTCCAGAGATAAAGGATGTTGTGCTGTGGTTTGATTCACCCAGTGTGATTGAAGCCTTACCAGTTGTACTTCAGGCAGTTTGCTCTCACAAGTTGCACAGTGCTTATGGTGAAGAGGATTTCCTGTGCCACACACCTGACAAATGACTTTGCCCTTTTAAACAGAGAGAAAACACATTTCACAGAGTATTTGAAAACTGTCTGAAAACAAAAATACAAAGACTTGATATTACAAAATGCTGTGGTTTTCCAGCCCTGCAGATAGAGAACATCCTTCAAGTCTGGGCTGTTTCACGCTTTAGTTAGGCCATGTTGCCTCTCATCACATGGGGACTATTTTTTTTTAATTATGCTTTAGTTTCTTCAGGAGATTCAGTATCAGTATCTCCAGGTCTTTGTATACTCTGGTTTCAGTTTGCTGAGTTACTATCCTCACAAAAACCAGACAGCGCAGAATGTGCATAGACAATTATTAACAATAATATAACACCAAGTGAGGTGCCTTAAAAGACCTCTGGTGGTGATTTGACCCTGGCTGAAGACCAGGTGCCCACCAAAGCTGTTCTATTATTCCCCTCAGTTGGACAGAAAAGAGAAAATATAATGAAAGGCTCATGAGTTTAAGAGCAGGGAGAGATCACTCACTGATCACTGTCAGGGGAAAAACAGACTCATCTTGGGCAAGTTACTGAATTTATTACTAGTCAAATCAGAGTAGGAAAATAAGGAATCAAACCAAATCTCAAAAAACACCTTTCCCCCACTCCTCCTTCTTTCCTGGACTTAATTTTCCTCCTAATTCTCTGTCTCCTGCCCTCCTCAGCAGCGCAGGGAAATGGAGGTTAAGATCAGCCCATCACACATTGCTTCTGCTGCTCCTTCCTTCTCAAGGGAAGTTTGTCCATGTCTTTCTTGTACTGGGGAATCCTTAATCCCTTTTTCCATTCAAGTTGTTTTAAATCTCACTAACTCTTAAAGGTGTCCATAATGTAATTATACAAAGCTGGGTTGGATCAAAATATTTGTAATGAAGTCATCTGCTAGAAAAATGCATGCCAGGAGTTAAATAACTATTTTTTTTTCTTATTCTCAATTACCTTTATGCAGATGTTGGTTTGGGGCTGCAGCTGTGGAGCTATTGGTGCCTCACAGATAATGCAAGTGGGTGTATTCATTGGCACAAGATGTCTGCATTCAAGGCACGGTGCCATCTGAAGGAAAAGCCACATCTCACAGTTATGTTAAGGACCACAATGAGATCATTAAGGTTATCATGAGATTTCAGTATTTTCCTAGCTGGAGTGTATATCAGCAGCAAGGTCACTGGAAACATAGCAATTGACAGAAACAGATGCTGATACCTTAAAGATCAAAGGATCATATTGAGAAAATATTAAGATATCTGGAAAGAGAATGTCAGAAAGGTGTTAAGGTAATTTTCAATAAAATGAAAATGATACTATAAATATAGTAGGACTGGCAAGGTGCTGTGGTCCTTGAGGGGACCCTGTGAGAAGGCTTTCTTTCTGTTTCCAAGAAATTACAATCCTGTTATTCCACTCTCACCCACTTCATACAGGTAACTGAAATTCTCCTAATTATGAACCTAATCTAAGAAGGTGGTGAATCTCAGTCATTACTTTAAACTACAGCACTGCCCAGACCAGACAACTTTCTGATGATACAGGAAGGGAAATACACCACTGACTTGTTAGGTCAGGTCTTGGGAAGAGCTTAGAGAAGACAGTTACTCATACTACTCCAAAAACTTGGTGCGTATGCCCACACATGTCACCATTTAAAGTTTCAGGTCTGGTAGTGTTTCCTTACATAGGCAAATAATTTACTTTTCTTTGTTTTCCTTATTAGAATACATGGCCCTTGAAGAATCTATGGTCAATTTCACCCATCTTTGGAGAATTTCATTGGGTCCAGTGCTGAAGTTATTGAGCAGAACTTTGAAATGAAAGTGTGAGTAGGTAACAGGTTTGCCAGCACTGACTGTGTAGCTTGCAGAGGCTGCTGTTCTTTGCCAGGATGATGTGTGGACTGCTGTCATGTTTGCAAGGATGATGTGTGCATTGCTGTGATATTTTGCTGACCTGTGTTCCTTCGGGGACTGGGAAACGCTGGAATGGCACAGGGGGGATGGGAGATCCACATTTCTGGCAGAAGTGAGCCAAGGGCTCAGACAGGCGAGGGGCAGAACAATGTGCACATCTGAAAATAAAGCAAACTGGCTGAGCTGGGTTTAGTATTGCACTGCTGCATAATAATGAATAATCTGGAATTGGCTGTGACAGGACTTAGGCTGCTGATTTCTCAGCAGTGGTGGAACACCACACCATGCCCCAACATCCAGATATGGAGTTCTGAACTCCAAACAGCTTTGCAAGGTAGAAAGCTGTCTGGTCTCAGGGGTCTCTGTGGTCATGATGACCCCAAGATGTGTCAGAGTCTCTCTTCCCAGCCCAGCAGCTGAAGAAGGAGTCAGGATTCTTCTGTTCTGGTTCTCAAGGTTGTTTATTTGCTGTTATCTATAATATGCTTTCTCCAACCCACCAAGGTCTGTCTGGCAGGTCAGGTTGTGGCACACTGACCACCTCAGAGGTGATGTTATCTTTTTATACTAAAAACTACATGTACATTATTTACAATAATTTCCCAATACCTATCACCTATGTTTGACACTGTGTTCCTACTCTAAACCAATCTGAAAGTGCCACGATCACCCAGAAGATGGAGGCCAAGAAGAAGGAGAAAAAAGGACAAGGCATGCCCAAATTCCTCCATCCTGGGACCCTGAGCCCCCATTCTAAAAACCCCCAAAATTCTACTTTTCACCCTGTGACAAACTAACTATCATTCTACTTAAAATTCTGTGGCTTGTAAATCCTCATATAAAGTTGGTAATTGTTTTTTCCATGGGTCAAAATCAAAGGCACAGGGGCCTTGGGCTCTGTGCCAAGGTCTCTGAGCCCCCTGGCAGGGGCTCGAGCCCTCCAGAACAGCCAGAGGTATGTCCTGGGTTCTGACAGTCTGGCGACTATGGAGTTTCATACTTTCCTCCGCATGATGGGAGATGAACAGGTCTCCAGACAGGCAGTCTGTGTCACTGCTGCACCACGGGGAACCACTGATGTAGATCACAGAACTTTTTCAATCCTGATAAGCACTAATGTTCTGTGAGACTACTCCAGTGAGCAGTGCTCACCTACAGCACTGAGGGTGTACTACAATTTGAAAAGATAGTTTATTCTCTGAACCTATGAGTGTTAGGAGGTTTGTTTTTTAAGGGATGATAAGACAGCTGATAACAGACAGTTGAAAACTACATTTAGCAAACAGAACGTTTAAAGTCCTATCTAGATGATGCTCTGCAGCTATGACCCAATGTCTGTCTTTGCCTTCCTTAGTTTTACAGAAACCCACAGGATTATCAGCTTGGTTGCAGAAGGCTCAGATATTTTCCAAAGGACAAGTATGTTAAAAGGAGAAGCCACTTACTTAAGGAAATCTGTTTCACTCTGGATCCTTGACATGTGTGTGCTTGCTAGGCTTTTCTGGACAGTTACTGTAGAGGAACTTGTAAACTGAAATAGAGGCAATTCTTTATGCTTTAGTAAGGAAATATTTGCAAAATGCATAGAAAGAGAAATCAGCTACTGATGCAATTTGAAATAAACTGCACTGAAGTGCACTGATTTGAAGAGTATCTACCATTCTTGATTCCCCCATTAGCTGAATTAAGGACCCATGGCTCCTTCCAGTAAAAATAAATCAATGCCTTGCTATGTAATTCCACCACAGCATTACTGAATATTTTTACTTGCCAACAAACAGCAGTAAGTATTTGCTAACTGCAGATTCAGGAATGTATTAGAAAAGAATTAGTAGGGATGCAGTCAGTATTGATTTCCTTTGCCTGGTTTTATCCATACTGACAACTGTGTCCTGCTTTGGGCATTCCTATTCCAGTGCATCATCACCGTTCCATTTAAATCAGGACTGCAGAATCCAGGCAAAAGCATTAATAGCTGAGAGAGATCACAAATCTTCACCTCCTCCTTTTTTTAGACCTGAGGACAATCTTGCAAAGTTTTCTTCAGCCTACCCCTTTGCTCACCTGCAATGACTCCATTTGCTGTGCTGAGGTGGATTCCTCTCTGAGCTCTGTGGCTCCCAAACCACTGGCAAGGAGCTGAGGCCCTTGAGGGGATCTGTGAGAAGGTTTTCTGTCTGTTTCCAAGATTAAAATGACAATCCTGTTATTCCACTGTCACCCACTTCATGCTTCAGTTAATATATATCTGAACTGGAATGTTACATACTCTAGCTAAATATAATTAAAAACACATTTGGCATCCACATTTTGGGTTCAAATAAGCTGCATGGAATTACAGGAAATGAAACTAGAAGAAACCCCACACCTCTCTGACTGAGCTGACTTTTGTGTTTTAATTTATTTACAGTTTTCTTCCTTCCTGCATGCTAAAAAATTACTCCCAGTTCCTGAGAGTAAATTAATGAGTAAACATTAATAAAATTACCTGCTCTAAAACAGTCCCATTGCTGTTGCCATGGAATAAGAGACTTTATCTACAGAGAAAATGTGGGTGAAGCTTTCATTTCTGCTCAGTGTATTTATTTTGGAATCTTACTGCAAGCAAACATCAGTAAAGAAACTCTGTAAAGGATTTGCAATCCCATCAATTTAATAGCATCTTCTGGCACAAAGGGAAGTACAGACAGGGCCTTGTTGTGTTACTGAGAAATGAATGACATTTTAATATGTTTTAAGAAGTGATGTGAAATGTATGGAAGGCAAATTTTGTTCTCTATTTGCAGTGTTGAGCAATCCAAACTGGAATTTCCAGAGAATGTTCTGTCTTCTGAGAGGGTTTTGAAATTACCCACATTTTACAAGTTATACAAGAGGAAAACTATGCTATTTTCTGCTATCTCAGTTTTATGAAGTGATACTGTACCTTGAAGGTCTTGGGTTGTTTCATCCCAGGCAGGCTTGATTTCCACATTCAGTCTATTCTTCTTAGGTTTTGTAGTAAATGTTCCACCTTCCTTATTCTAAAATGTAATTCCATTTCAATTTCAAATAAAACTTTTGCTTTTGCTCTAATCCTCTCCTGCTATAGTTGTTAAAAATTTAAAACTACATCCTTAAGGTATTTATTTTCAATGCAAGTATGTTAAAAGCTTAATTTTAACATTACAAAAAGGATCAAAGCAGCAAAGATGGGCAAAAAGAGAAAATAAGATATGTGAATAAAACTGGCAGTCACAGCTTAATATCTAAATAATATCATATATACAACATTTTATACTCACACAAGGGGTTACAATTTCCAAAACTTACCAGTGTGGCCATATATTTCAGGAAATTCTTGTCATCATCTTCAACAGGGAAAAGGAAGTTTGGTTGCTGGTACTCTACCACAAACACCTTTGTCACAATTGAACTCTCCCTGTAGTCCCTGAAAATCAACATTCACAAAGCTAAGAACCTGCCACAGACCTGTGTGCTGCAACAAGAAAATCTCTCATGGATGTGGTTTATTAGGTGGAACATCCCTTTCAAGCTTGCCAGTCATCATTGCAGTAGGATCTTGAGCAATCTTTATTTGATAAAGCAACTGTCATTCTCTAATGCCTATTAAATTACAGCAGTGGATTGAAATAGCTGTAAATGTCTAAACCACTCTTGCATGGTTTATTGTCATTAAAGTGAATCTCTGAAAATGTCTTAGTATAAACAGTCTGGAAACAAATGTTAATCCAGGCAGTGATGGCAAGAAAATAAACCTAGGCCTAGGTTTTGTGTGTTATATAAAGTTGTTGTATTGCAGTGCAGACACGAGCACAGGCTGGCTGCAGGTGCTGCTAACAGGGAACAGCAAACACAAATCTCCAAGTGGAGTGGAAGTTCCTGCCCCCTTGGAAATAAAAGATAATGTAACACAGTACAGACAGAGAGTGGATGTGTCCTCTCTCTCAGCATGAAGTTAGTTTGGACAAACTCACTGGTTGTGCAGCAAAATCCAGTTTTCTTTCTATGAATTGTATTTTTGCTTCACCCCATGTTGTACTTAAGCTGTGAGGTTCAGCATTCTGTGATCCCTTGGGAGAAATGAAGCAAATTCCTGGGAAGATCAGCTTCTAATAATCCACAGAACCACTGGATGACCCCAGAAACACCAGCCTGGTTTCTGTGGTGTTTCTGATGGTCACACTCCAAAGGAGGAGCCCTCAGGACAGTACATCAGCCTCTCACCCACAGCCTCTGGGATCAGTGGACACCCAGAGTCCAGGAGATAGTACCCAAGAGGTTATCCAGCCACACAAAACATGGACATCCATTTTAATGGATAAAAATTAACCTGAGAAAGCCAAGTCAATGCTATTCATGAGGATCATTTAGATTGCAAACTGCCTGGGGAAAGGCTCATCTCTCACCTGCAGGGTATGGAGTGCTTTAAACAACACAGGGATGTCGGTCCCTTGCCAAAACAGGACTAAAATAAACCAAACCAGGATTTGTAACTCACTTTGTAACTGCCAGAGCCTTGACCATTACTCTCCCCTCTGGTAACATGATAGGACCCTTATACTCCAAGGTGTTATAAGGCCCATAGCCAGGTTTCCTACTGAGTTCTGGTTTACTTCCATCTAAAGTGTAATAAATAGAGGCCTCAGGTGTATCTGAAAGAAACAGAAAAAGTAATTCCTCAGACTGTAGGAACCTTGGGAAAACAAAGTATTCACTACTGTGCTTGATTTTTCTCACATAAAGAAAATAAAGCAGGTCCATAAGTGACTGAATGTTTGGGATCAAAACTGTTTCTCCCATGAAATATCAGTTACCCAACAAAAGCAATTTCATTGTAAGCAATATTTCTAACAGCAAAGTATCTGTGAAATGATTTTGCATGCAAACATTGCAGCAGTTTGTCCATTCCAATGACAGAAAGGGTATTTTCTGCCACAGCAAAAGGTGACAATTCAAAAATTGTAATGACAACGTTGGGAGTAAGCCTGGTACATGATTCTTTCAGGAACTGTTTTTGCAGTCAAAGCCAAATGCAAGAGCTTAAAAGTTTGGCCTTGGAAGCAATTAAGACTGCTAGCACAAATAACTTTTATGTCAGTAATATTGTTTGGATGCATAAATTTACATGCAAGTATATTTGGTGCATCAAATCTGCTGGTCAATTTTATAAGTTCCTTAAATGCACACTCCAAACATCATGGTTAAATGTGAAAAAGGTATAAAGGCTAAATATTTCAAATGGACACATAAGTACAGGTTTGAGGTGGGGTTAAAGCCTTGTTCATACCTGATTTTATTTCTATGAGAGTATTTGTGTCTATTTCCCGTTGAGCTTTCCCAGGAGGTGGGATTCGAAGTGGGAAGATCTGAGGAGCTGAGACAGAGCCAGCTGTCATTTTTTCCCAGCAGTGGTCTTTAAAACAGAAAAGTAAAAAGACAGACAATCATTTCCCTAAAAAGAAGAATGCACTGAGAAATACAGTCTTTTAGCATGACTCCTTGTCTTTGTTTCTCTTGAAGAGAGAACACTGGATTCTTTAAACCATTCTGTGATTGTGACTCTGTGTGTTTGAGCTAGAACAGCTGCAGCACCTCATGTCAGAGATACATGGAAGGAGTAAGGGACAAGAATCTCCACCCTGACCATGTCAGATGTGAAACCAGCTTCATCCCACTATGGCCACCTGAATAAGTGGAAAATACTAAAGAAAACCAGCTAATTTTTTAGCTTATCCCAGTTATCATGTGAATCCAGAATATATCCATGAAACAGGTGCCAAACCTGATTTATCCTGATGTACACAGTCATTATCACATCATGTAATTCAAGAATGCAAAAATGCATTTGGATATGATGACATTTTACAAAACAAAGATATAGTATACACTCCAGATCTTGTGAATTGATGCTCAGGGCCAGGAAACACGTCTGGGTTACAAGGGTTTGGTTCTGTCACCATCCCTCCAGTGCCCCAGGGACACTTTCCCCTCTCTCAGGGCAATCTGTCCCAGTGCTACTTTACAGGGTGAGGGTGAACCCTTCCCCTGGAAGCCTGGAACTTCCCGTGCCCCAGATTCTCTCTGTTGCCTCCTGCCCCAATTTTGGGCACCACTGAGCCCAGCCCGGTCCATCCTCTGACCCCACCCACCAACCCCGGGCGGATCAGCTCTGTCCCTGACCCGAGGGGGCGTTCAGCCTTCCCCGATGGTCCCAGCAGCTCTTGGCATCCCAGAGCTACAGCGGGCTCCTGGGGAAACCCAGGGCACTGGGAATATTCCTCTGTCTGCTCTGGGGTGCCCTGACCCCCAGGGGTGCACTGACTTTGACCCTCACTCATGGAGAAAGTTTCCTAAACTCCAGAATAGAACAGAATCCACAAAAGTGTGAAATAGATTATAGAGAGCAGTGTAGGTGTATCACTTGGTGAGAAATTTAGGTTTTGGGATTTTTAGTATGTTGTGGATGGAAGCAAGATGGAGGGCACAGGGTGTCATCCTGGGTTTCTTCTTCATGCTTCTTCTTTCTTCTTCTTCATGGGTTTGGGTGGCATTTTGTAATTGGGCAAAAAAGTCCACATTGTGGGCTCTTTAAGATCAGTTATGTGATTTATGTTATACAATAATTCGTGCTAAAGGAAATTGAAACCACAGCATCTTGGGCACCAAGCCAGTGTCGGACAAATAAAGAATGGAGATTCAAGCACCAGGAGGACACTGTCTCCAGGGATATTTCAAAGATGTATATTTCAAGGGATTTTTTTTCATTTGACAAGACCCCAGCAGGAGGCATTTGACGGGCATCATCAGAAGTTTATGCCAGGAAGTTTTCACCTGACAGGATTCCAGGAATTATCCACCGCTTCCAGGAAACACCACAGCAAAAAAGAAAAACTACAATAATATGCTAAAATATGCTATAGAAGAGCCCTCTACCAGAGCCCAAAGGACTGTATAAAACAGATCTCTTTGAAATGACATTTCAGAGACCCACAGGGACCTTGGTGCAATAGAGACCAAATCCTGAGACTCCTGGACCCTGATCACCTGGCCCAGAGTCGACTCACTTGTGGCTTTTTCCAAATTTATATTTGATTGTTTAATAAATTTCCTTAATTATTAAATTGGAGTATTCATTTATAACAAGTTATTAGGTTAAAAAGGAAAATAATCTAGGTGTCAGTTCTTAACTGGATGGTTTAGTTTTAAAAGACCTTGTAACAAGAGATAGGATTTTTCATGAAACATGTCTGTGACAAACTTTCCTTAGGATTTTTTCTCCTGAGAATCTGAGAGGCCTCAGGAACAAAATGTAAACATTGATTATCTGCTGCTGTGGAATGCTACAGGTGCATCTGTGATTGGTCTCAGGTGGTTGTTTGTAATTAATGCCCAATCACAGCCCAGCTGTGTCTCTCTCTGGCCAGTCACAGGATTTTGTTATTCATTCTATTCTTTCCCTTTCCTTGCTAGCCTTCTGATGAAATCCTTTAGTATAGTTTTAATATAATATATATCATAAAATAATAAACCAGCCTTCTAAACATGGAGTCAGATCCTCATCTCTTCCCTCATCTTGGGACCCCTGTTATCATCTCTACAATAATTGGCCATTTTGTGCCTTCTAATAAAAAGCTGCCAAACTCACAGTTAAGAGACTTTTACTGATAAGAAATAATAAACACCTGAGTCCGAACACCAATTGCTGTCTCAAGTGCCTTCATTCCAAACCCAAAAAAATAACAACTAACACCCCATAGGCTCCCTCCGGCCTTTTGGGATCGCATCCCTGGAACGGGAACGGCCCTGCCGGCATCTCTGTCCGCTTCAGGGCGCGGCCCCCACACTCTCTCCGCTCCATCGCAGCTCTCCAGCCCCTGCTCACCCGCTGGATCCCTCTGGATCCCTCTGGATCCCGGTCAATCCCTCTGGATCCCGTCCGATCCCGCCGCTCCCGCTCCGTTTCCAAGGACGCCGCTCCCGCCCCGCATTGGCCGTTGCTACGCAACCGACACCGCCCGTCCCCGCCGTCGCGCGTCTCTGACGTCATCTCTCCGCGCCGGGCCAGCCGCGCCATGGCGGAGGTGAAGGTGAAGCCGGAGGTGCCGGATCCCATGGACATCGAGAGCAGGTGCTGCGGGCGCCCGCAGGCGGGCATGGGGTGGCTGTGTGGAGGCCACGAAGGGTTCTGGGGCCGGGGGCAGCAGGCGTGGCGGGGCCTCGCCGTTCAAGGCCTGAACGGGAGGGGGTTGTTCGACGCCCCAGTGTTAATGAGGAAAATGATGCTGAAGGAGAGGGTGCTTGGGGACACGGAGAGTTTCGTGCTTAGAGGGCACTGAGGGTTGGGTCAGGTCACTTTCGGCTGTCCCGGAGTTTTTCTGGTCTTGGAAAGGGAAATGGACAGGGAGTTGGTGCTGAGCTGCCTAAAGAAGCAATTGATGGATGCTTTTCCCCCGAGTTCCTCCTGTCGCTCTCTCCCATCCTGACTCCAGTGCCGTTTGGATGGAGCAGAACACGAGTTTTAAAGTTGCTTCTCTCCTCCTGCAGGATCCTTGAGCTGTGCCACCAGTTCCCCCATGGCATCACGGACCAGGTGATCCAGAATGACATGCCTCACATGGAAGCCCAGCAGAGAGCTGTGGCCATCAACAGGCTGCTCTCCATGGTAGGGACAGCCCACCTTCCTCATCCTCCTCAGCACATTCCTAACCACAAGGCTCATTAGGGATGGGGAGTTAATTAGCTGTAGAGAAAAGGGGGGATGTGAGCCCTTCTCTCATAGGTGGGGGTGTTCTCTGAACCCCCCATGAAATCCCAAGCTTGTGGATTGCTCTGAAGGCACACAGGAACCTGCCAAACCTGTAAGAACCAAGGCTGTAACTGCAGGAAAGGATCAGCTGGCAATGAGAGAGTGAATTTTCATTAATTCTGTTATACACACTTACATCCTTAGGCTTGTCAAGTTGCTTTCCTCTTCAAAATAAGAAATAAGGACTTTGCCTGACCACAAGCATGCACAGCAGAACAATCTCTTTGCCAGTAATTTGCTTCTAAAAATCACTGCCCATCAAAGTTGGCAGCTTTCCAGTGATTGCCACTTAGTAAAAAGCAGAATTTTGTTGCTGGAACTTGGAATTGTTCCAGAGCTCCACTATGATTTCTGGGTTTCTGTGCAAATGGGTGCTTTGGTGGAAAGTGAGAGCAAAGTGAACCAGAACCCTGACAAGGATGTCCCTTGTCAGCCATGGGAAAGTCAGGAGAAATAATAGGAATTGTGTAGATGTTGTGGGAAGGGTCAGGAACTGTTTGTTATTTCTGACAGCTGATGATAAGGGGAAATTTGTAAGGGGAAAACAAAATATCCTCAAGGCTGTTGTTATTTCCAGTGGTTAGAAACATTATTTTTCCTTTTTTCTTTATTTAGTTGACATTAAACAAGGTTTTTATTTTAGAATTTCAGAATATTCCTCTAAAACACCTGAAACAAGCTGTTTGAAGAAAAGTAAATGTGTCCATCTCTCCTAGGGGCAGCTGGACCTTCTGAGGAGCAGTGCAGGTCTCCTGTACAGGATCAAAGATTCCCAAAATGCAAGGTAAGCCTGTGACTGCTGGGGAGGTGTGTTGGGAACACAATTCTTGTTTAAAACAAATCAAACTTCAATTCTTGTTTAAAACAAATCCAACTTCTTTCAAATTTTGGACCTTTTAAAAAAATCCTGCTGTCTGTCTTGTTTTGACAGTAAAATGAAAGGTTCTGACAATCAAGAGAAGCTGGTTTACCAAATCATAGAGGATGCAGGCAACAAAGGTACTTTAAATTATCATTGTGAATGGCACTGTTTGCTAACTGTCCAAAGTCACAAATGCTTGCCCAGACAATAAAAATATAAAATCTAATGCCCCATACCTGCTTGCTTTCCCCCAATCCCTTCTGTCCATTCCTTCCCTTTTGCTGGGAGTGGCAGGGAAGCAACCCAAGCAGTGTTCTGATGTGACTTTTGGTTGGTGTGCATGGAAACAAATGGTTTCTTCTATTTATTTCTGTTCACTTCTCTGTTTTTGAACAGGTATTTGGAGCAGGGACATTAGGTACAAAAGCAATCTGCCTTTAACAGAGATCAACAAGATACTGAAAAACTTGGAAAGCAAGAAATTAATCAAAGCAGTTAAATCTGTGGCAGTGAGTATTTTGTGACATTTTTAAACAATTTCAAACATCTGCTGCATGGTTTGAATGCTTTTAACAGGGGCCTGGGGGCAGAGAAAGCTGGAGGCAAAATGAGTTTTCTCTCTTTGACTGTGCACCAGTGTTTGACTTTGCCTTTCAGTGTTCAGGTTTGAGGTGCAAGAGATCAGCTGAGGTCCACAGGTCAGCTTCTTGCTGTCTGTCTGCAGTTAC